CCTCTGATTTGTATGAATTAGGACCATCTATAAATTTCACTACAGCTCTACCTCCTGTACTGTTTGCTCATTCAATTCTTCTGTATTATTTTTCATATAATAAATTATGCTGATACACATTCTAGTAGAGACTATTGTATGCTTCCTTGTTCAAATTGTATCTTCTTTTGATTCATTACTGGATTGCTTTCTAGAAGAATGGAGGAGCATTTTATGGTTTTCCTATCACTTGGAATCATTTCAATTACACTTGAATTTACTAGTTTTAAATGAAATTCATGTTTTTATAAATATGTCTGTTGCTGATATCTTTCCAGATATGTTATTAATTACCAAGTTTACATATTATGGAGTGGTCTTTTTTTTTACTATATGTATATTTTATCCATGTCCTCTATGTTAGGGTAAACCAATGCAGGCTTAAAACTACTGAGATAGGCAGAGTTTAAACAATGTGTAAGAACTTTGTTGTAGACCAGGTACAGCCAGACCAAGGGTGAAAAGACCATTAGCCCAGCACAAGGGGCAAGAGCATGGTTTTTAGAGGAGGTTAGGCAGGTGAGTGGGGCATTGCTGAGGGGTGCAAAATTTTGGGTCTTTGAGTAGGGAGTCAAGGGTTAGCTGACAGGTGGTGCTGGATATGAAGGTTGCTGGCAGGCACAGCACATGTCTTGTGATTTTTTTGCAGAATCAGTCCCTTGCAGGTTGAGCTGTGTGGGGCAGCTGCTAGCTGGTTGACTTTCAGAGAAACTGCTGGCTTCCTTTTGAATGTCTTGTGCCTGCCAGTATGAATAACATTGCTTGGGGAGTTTTTTTGTCCTGGCTAGGTGTGGGTCTAGTTCAGAACCAATGTTACCCTCAATGGTGCATACAAGTCACATCATTATTGTAATAGTCCTTGATTCTTTCTCATTCCTAATGTTGTACATTTAGAATTATTTTTATGATCGTAGGAAAGGGGTTGTTTGTTTTATCGAAAAATAATTATCAAGTTTTGGTTTATCTAACACTCATTTCAATCCTTTTCGTTTTCATAAGTGGCAAAGTATAAGCCATATTTAAATCTTAGGGAAACTCTCTAATGGATGTTTACTTTTGTCCCTTATAATGTGTGTGTGTGTGTGTGTGTGTGTGTACATATATATGTTGACTACAACACATATGTGTGTGTGCCCCAATATTTGTTCCCAAAATAATGTGATATAAAATCACAAGTGTTTGGAATTGTTATGCAGATCACACCCTACACTGACAACAAGGGATAGGGAAGTGATACAGTTTTGAGATGATATAGTAGCTCAGCCCTAAAGTCTGAAGACTGCATTATGAGTACAGTTGCAGGAAGATGAGCGAACAGAATAAGGTTGAAGGTCAACAAAATAAATAATTAAGCAAAGAGCATAGACGTACTATTGAAAGCAAATATTCTCTCTAGGCTTACATCAAAGCTGAAGACAAATCACTTTGTTAGCAGGTGACTTGAATGTTTCATATTCACTAATAGAATCAAATACCTGAAAATTTTGCATCTTATGTATTACTTATAATTTATGATGACTATGATAGACTGAAAAGTGGACTCATGATTCTAGTTAGTAAGCCACAGAGCACATCACACACTGATAAAGATGCATATAAATTTTGAGTTTGCTTTGAAGTGCTGTGAGAAATTTTGCACATTGCATGGTGGACCTAACTACCTCATCACTATGGACAGTCTTAGGTATGTCCTGCTAATTAATTTAGTAAATGCAACAAATGTTATAGGAAAAAGAGGTAAGGTTACCTGTGGGGTTGGTGCAAACAAAGATCTTTCCAGATCATCTGACAAGTATGATTACAGTTAGCAACAAGGCTTGGAATACTTCTTCAGGCTATCCATAGTGTCACTGATTGCTCACCTTAGTGCATGTTAAAAGGTATTTTGCTACAGTAGATGAGGTAAGTGAGAGACCTTTCGAAAGGCCTCCAGAGAGCTATGTGAAAAAAATTAAAAGTATACGTTCATATTATTCAAGCAGAAAAACTCAGTACTGAAGAGAGACAGATTGAAAAGAAGCTTTCCTGTCTCAAGGACAAGATCACTTTCTCGCATGAGATGGTGAGTGTATAATAACATCAGACCACAAGAGAACAGAAGGAATTATGGTGGATGCTTTGTAGCTCATGGAAGACTCTGATACGTGTTTCAGTGTATGCACTGAATGCTCAATAGTTGCTGATATTCTGCTCCAAAGAGGAATGGACATATGGAAAGTTGAGGACTTTTCAGAACATTAAAAATAGCACAAAACCATTTTCACTTGTAAGATATTGGATGACATGATGCTGTCCATGTGCTATTTTTGTGCCACATCCATAAAAGAGTTCTAGTTGTAACTCCACCATCACATACACACAGTACTTGAGAGTATGTCTTTTTATTCAGATTTTATATGTCTTTACAAAGACAATATTATATTAAAATGTGAATATTAGAGTGGTCCCTAATCTAATACAACTAGTGTTTTCACACAGAGGGAGAAATTTTCTCAGAACATACAGGACGGGAACAATGTACAAAGACTGGGGTTGTGCTGCTGTGAAGACTGGAACAGATTTCTCCTTCAGAGGGACTAAGGTCCTGTAGACCCCCTTCACTTCAGGCTTCTTTAAAGCCAGGATAAAATAAATTCCTATAGGTAAGGCCCCTAAACTTGTAGTACTTTTTATGGAAAGCATAGCACCTAATGCAATGTCGTAATGGATAGTTGAAGAGAAAAGCATAGAAATTTCCTTTAAATAGGCACTATTTGGAGATAAATTAGGAATTAATACTTCTTTTTTAACTGTTGGGTACATATCTCAGATATTTTTATCGTATGTGTTTCCATCATGCAGATTACCAACAGAAGTCTAGATGATGCATAGGAATTTAAATAGTTGATGTCAGGGTTTATTGTATGTAGTGTCCCAAGTATTATAAAGTTAGATTACAGATATGTGTCATCAAGGATAGATGTAAGAACAAGGCTACACATACTCTTTCCTTGGTTCCTAGAGAATATCCTTATTTTAATATTTCAAAGCACTATTTTTCTTACAGAGAGAAAAGAAATGAAGAAAAAAATCAGAGTGGATGATGTATCTGGAAAAGATAAAATGGGAAATTTAGCGGTGATGGTGTAGGAATGCAGTCAGGTCTTACCTTACAATGTCAATAATGGGTGAGGGTAAGTGACTTTCATTTGTATATTTTTAAATTTAAAGCCCAGTTACAAAGTCCAAATGTCATTACATCAAAGAGAGTCAATTTGGGGAGTATGGCTCGTGAAACTAACCCAGCACCACGTGTGCAGTAAACACTACTTGGGCAAAAACATAAAATAGTGCACCTAACTGTCCAGAAAATATGTAAATACAGTGAAAGCCAGTCCTCACACATTTCCTTTAAGTGTCTTTCTTCCAGAAATGTTTAGAATCCATTTCAGTCACTTCTTTCTAAGAAGAAAAAAAGAAACTTTCTACATTGTGAGATATAAATTTTTCAGGAATTAAAAATAAATTTCCTCCAGCTATTCTCTAGCTGTGAATCAACCCTCCTCCTCCTGTTCAAGAATGTAAAGCTACATATTAGTGATATTATGCACTGCTGTTTAAAACATTGAAGAGATGTTTAATTTAGAATAACCGTGAAAGTATTCAGACAATACGACAATCAACAAAATGTCCTCCTAGAGAACTGCATCCGCTATAGTTTGCTGCACATTAGCAATTTCTGCTACGTATTTTCTTCTTTCATAGTGACAACCCCAAGATTTTGTCCCTTAGTAAAATTAGTATCTAGTATATTAATGAAAAATAAAAGGAATCAAACTAAACATAATGAGCATTTATGACAACAAAATATGTCTTTAAAGAGTTTAGAATAAAATGAATCAGGAGTATGGGAGCTACAATTTGCTATAGTACATTAACATTTATATGGAAATTCAATGAAATGTGTATAGCTCTGTGAGGAAAATAACTGACAGTGAAATTTATTTTATGTTTGTCTATGATAGCCATGGAAGTCATGATAATATTAATCATTGGGGTTCTGGAATTGGGCTAAAGAAAAATAGCTATATGAATGTAGTCAGTTTTTTCCTGTACCTTACTAAGTTACTTGGTTTGTGGACTATTGAGATTATACATTTTAACTGCCTTTTGTGAAATGGAGGTTTGGCAAAACTATCTCATCTCTACTGAACAAGCTAGACATTTCAATTGTTTTGGGTCAACTGGTGTGTAGATTTTCAAACGCATGCATTTCTTACTACATTTCTTAATTTAAATCAACTGGTTATGGAGATTTATCGTAGTATATATCAGGATTTTTTTACCTGAATAAATCTTTAGCTCTTTTATGGTTCTGCTTAACAAAAAGACCACAGAAGTCATTTATTTGGGGAGTATTTTGAAATGAGAAATTTAAGGAGTTTTGGAAAACCTTTTTTTCATTCCATCGTCAGATATACTTCATTACCAAGGGAACACTTAGAATAAATTATAAAACTGATCTTTTTAAAACAAAAAGATTTAAAATGTTTTCTAAAAATGGCTTTGAAAAGATGTCTGCATACTAATCCTAGTGTATTCCTTATGTTGAAAACTGAGAAGAGTATTTGCAAATTAAGGAACTTGAAATACAGAAATTAACTTGGGTTATTTAGGTGAACCCTAAATTAAAAGTACATTTTTAATGGGAGACAGAGAGAGATGTGACAAAATAGAAGAGAGAGATGTGACAAAATAGAATACACCATCATTTGAAGATAGAGCACTGATTGACTTGAAGACATTGGCTACATTCTAGGAAAATCAGCAGTCATTAGATGATGAAAGAACAGAGCTTAATCAACAACCCACAGAGGGAGTATGACTCTTGCCAATGTCTTGACTTTAGCCCAGATACATTGATGTTGGACTTTAGATTCACAGAACAGTAACAGGATAAATTTCTTTCATTTTGAGCCACCAGTTTTATTTTGTGGGTAATTTGTTACTTCAAAGGAAACTAATACAAGACTCTTACAATTCATCCAGGCTAACAGTTTCCATTCCACTTTAGGAGCAATTTGTTTTTCATTGTAATCTCTCTACCCATTTGTGTCTACATTTTCTGTGCTTATTTGGAAACTATCTTCCCCAATTTGAGAAATTTTTATTACTCAGATTTGATAACAATTGGTCCTTTTTGGATCGACACAACTACAATAAAATAAAAGTAAGGAGAAAATAGTCTGAATCACATTTTAATATATGTAATGTTTATAAATCATAAATTTTAGTAACTAATTTAAAGGCACAAAGTAACTGTTACATCTAATTCAAATCTGAATTTAATACAGATTACTTTGTTCTTTTCACAACAATTACAAAATGTCACAAACTAAAACTTAACTGATATATGCACTATACATTTATAAATTCTTATCCAACCAATTAGTATACATATCTTTTATCCTAAGACCTACATGTAAATAAAAGGGTGCTGTCATGTATGATAAAGCTCCATGGATTCCATCCTCAATATGCTCATGAACTACTTGAACTCCAACATTTCGAAGTCTTGAAACATACATAATTCCATCATCTCTAAGGATATCATATTGACAGGTAAGGATATAGGTCAGTGGCAAATTCTGTAACTGGGAATCATTAGCCAACAAAGGTGATGCTCTGCTATCCATAAGTGCTGGAAACGAATGAGTAGATCTTCCAAGAATCGGTTCAGTATATACATGGTCCTTTCTAAACTTCTCAGGAAGAAGAGTACTCCAGTTGACAAACTTAAACAGATGTCTGGATTCCAGAGGCATGTGTTGGTTTTTTCTCATTGCCTGAGAAAGTGCTTTATCCTTGGTGAAATACAAACTTACAAGTTTGATAGTTATGTCCCTTGTCAGAACTATACCATGCTCATTTTCTCGATGAGATGGCAAATAAGTATCAATCATCTGTAATCCAGGGTAAAGTAAAGCTTGTATTTTGATTTTATTTTTTATTTCAGGATCATTCTGCACCTGAAAGAAATAATACTTTTGTAAGGCAAAAGCTTCCAAAGCAACAGAAGTTTAAAAGCTTTAGTTTAAAAGCAATCATGAGATATTGCTAAATAATTCATTGTTAAGACTTGTAACTAGATGTCCCCCCAAATCCTCATACATTCATAGGTGGGATTTTTCAAAGGTTGTTGGATCTAGAGTGTGTGAATATGAATTAAGTGTGTGTGATAACTGTATTGGTCCCCTAATTGTATGAGCATAGTTCTATGTGTGACTGAATGGATTCACTGAAAAGAGAAGCCCTACATTGTGTGTGTGTGGCACCCACCAATAGGCTTGCAGCCTGGATGGAATATAAAGGAACGGAAAGAAGGCTGCTGCTTTCCTGCTTCCCATGCCATAGACTGATCCTCCTTTGTCATGCATCTTTGCCATGTTCTCCATCCTTGCAGTCAGTCAACTATGGATTGGAATCTCTACAAACTTTGAAGTAAATAAACCTTTCCTCCTTTACCTTATCATTGTTGGGTATTTCTTCCTAGAAATGACAAAGTAACTAAGACACTCATGTTTCAAATCATACATATACTCACAATAGTTACATATCATTCATGACACAAAAAAGTGTCAAGTCACTTAAACATAAAGATTCTAAAAACATTTGTTAAGTGTGTGAGGAAACAAGAGAATAAGAAGGTGAAAGAGATATAGAAAGACAGAAAAAAAGAATAGGCGAGAGATACAAAGATCCTATCAACAATGGTACTTCCAATAACATTTTAAACATAATATGCCTAGAGGAACTTAACAATATATATAAAAATTTTTAAAAGATTTTCTTCCACTGAAAGCAATGAAGTAAGTGGAAGAAATACACTCCTAAATAATATTATTTTATTTAAAAACATTGAAAGCTTTGAATATTATAAAAGGTTTAAGACTATTTTAAATAATACCTTGTTAGTCATTGGGCAGGCATTCCCTGAACCATACTATTTTTGTTTATCTCTGTATGTTCTTTAAAAGGCCTCAAAGGCTCATCGATGGGGCTTTCTAGATGTGATAGGAACGCAGAGGTGTGACATTCCTCAGTGAATTAGTGCAGTTACAGTTTATAGCTAACTGTGATGTGAGGAAGTAAAGCCTGGACAGAGCGGGTGGGTCACTGGAGTCGTGGCCCGGAAAGGTGTATCTTCCTCCCTTCTCCTTTGTTCTCTTTCTCTATTCCCCACTGCCATGATATGCCTCCTCTGTCATGCCCCTCTGCCACACTGCCCTTCCTTAGTGCCAGATGAAACTATTCTTGAAACCTCTACAAACTGTGAACCAAAATATACTTTTCTTCCTTAGAGTTGTGGGTATAAAGTATTATGTCTCATCAAGGAGAAAGTAATTAAAACAAAAATTATTATTTTTCAGAAAAATTCAAATACAAAGATACACATAACAAATGGAGGTGGAATGATCAGAAATATATTTACCAAAACAATAGTGAATTTTTTGTTAAAATGAAGTAAGAAAATGGTGAAAAACCAGTCAATGTTCACCAAGTTTGATGTGCAAGGAAAAAATGTGGGCTCCCTGAAAAGGAGTTTCTCTCGAGAGAAATGAAGGATATTTTTAACTCTTCACATAGAGAAACTCAAATTAATTACACATGAACAGTGTCTCATTTGTCTGGCATCTGTGGTAATGACACTTAGACAAGTGAGCATACTTGTTTATACTTTTCTGGTTTAAAAGCTCATGGCCAGAAAATATACCCCTAAATCAACCTCTCACCGTAGTGACTGGCTGAGCACAGAGAGGGGACTAATCTTAAATTCAAAAGGCACCACAGAAAAGGAAATGTTAAATACTATCTCTGCAATACACTCCCATAATTCTAGATGTTGCTAAATTAGAATGAAAATGAGCCAAGACAAAATTTCCTGATGGAAGCATGTTCAGATCTCAAGTTACTGATGATAAGGACTGTTGTCATACATACTTCTTCACCATTTTAATAATTTGCTTAATTTAACATGTCACCTACTGTTCCATTATTTTCATTTTAATGTTTTTCTTGAATAATTGGTATCTGACTACTGTTAAACACAATCCAAATTCCCAGAATCTCATCTTGAGTAAGAACCTATTCACTATTGAAAACTAATAATTGCTAGTATTTTCCAAAAATGAAACAGTCTAATCAGCATATTTAGTTTTCTTTTGTATACATCATAAAACCATCTTCCTATTCATGATATTGACTTCTTTATTTGTAACTTCCAAACTGAAATAAGTCCAAATCCATTCAATTACACCTCTTTTCAATTTCATAAATCTTTTCTCATTTCCACTATTGACAACCTAGTACATAATGTTGTATGTATTACTTAAGCATAGAATTATTTTTTTACTGGTACCCGAGATCAAACTCATGATCGCCTGCTTGCAAGGCAGGTGCTTATACCGCTGAGCTAAATCCCCAGCCCACATAGAATTATTTTTAAGGCTCTGTTAACCAAAATTCCACGCTTTCTAAAATCTCCTCTTCATTGGTAAGAGTAGTACTTTCTTCAAATGTGATTAAAACTCTTCAATAACTTCACAAAATGCTTACATTCAGGTAACAACAACAAAAATCCTACAGTGCTCTTCCTTAATTCAACCCAACCAAACTCTAACTTTTTCTTTCACCATACTTTCCTCTCTTTATCTGATGTGGTCTTGATAAACATGTCATTTCTTTGGATCACAACTTATGGGAAAAAATCAGTGATTATTTAAACAGGGAAGGGACAAAATAAATTCACCCACACCCTTCTCAGGCAAAGGAAAACCAACTATACCTGTTCTAAAGATGAGTAACCAGTTTCTCCCAGTTCAGAGGCATGCAATACCAGTGTCCTTGTTTATTTTCTAAAGTCTCTCCATACAGACAACTTAGGACAGTCTGAGAAACTATTCTATATACAATGAGCCTGGTTAAGAAAGTTGCTAATGAAATTAAATAGTTTAAAGAGAGGCAGAAAAATCAAACACTGAGATATTCTGAAGAATGGAAGAAGACAAGAGAGGGATAAATATGATGACAGAGGTTTAGAAAAAAGAATTTATTCAAAAAATATATTGTACCAGATTCCAATAGGCTTAAGAGTCTAAAGAGTCTAACCTAGTTGGGGATATGCTTGGATAACAGAAATCTATACCTCTATCTATATCTATCTATCTATATATATATATATCTATATATATATATATATAGATAGATATAGATATATATATTATTGCTGTGTGTAAACTGTTTTATCTAATAAGTACAGGGATAAATATGCACGTAGGACTTTGTGGGACTTTATGGACCATCCATATGTATACGGATTTTCAGTGCAAGACAGTGTCTTATTGGAAGATATAAATTTGAAACACTTCAACACGTAAGTCAGACCTGAAACCACTTGATCAAGAACACATCTAGGACAGAATAACACAATATAATGAGAAATATCTGATTTAATGGAATGTCAGGTAAGAAGTTGGTGTCACATGAAATTGGATGGAAAAGAGGTAAGAAGATGAAAACAAAGAAACAATGCCATTGCAGACACGAAGAGAGAGAAGTCTTTTAAGATAAAAGCTAACAGCACTTATAAATGATGAAAATAAGTTAATATAAAATGAGAATGACAATGAAAATGCCTTTAGATAAAGAAGAAAATGTCATTAACAAACTTAATCCAGAAAGTCAGAAGATGGCCAGAGAAAACTGTACAGACTAAAGAGAATATTTATTATGAGTGTAGAAGAGGGAGTACCATTTAACCTAACTGAAGTCAGGTACGGAAAGAAGATTGATAGGACACAATGCAGATGAGAAAATCTAAGCATGATTACATGCTAAAATAAGAAAGCAAAAAAAATGATATTTTAAAGGTACTAGAAAAGAGGGAAATAACTTCTAGAGAAAGATTCCTGAGAAGCTGAGATTACCTGAAAATCCAGCAGAGATCTAGGAAGGACTTGTGATCATAAAAGGAACAAAATAAAAGCATGTGAACATGAACATATTCATAGAAATTTTATTTAATGGTGGGTTTTTTGATTAGTTGTTTTGGAGCTAATGCAGCTGAGTGACCAAATGTCTATTATCTTTCTTTTTAAAAATAAATTCATTCATTAATTGGAATGGTTTTATTCTGGGTTGTTGGATTTTATTGTTTGTGATGGTGTGAATAGCTATTTTGAAGAAAACAAGACATTATAATAGCTAGTGATAATTTAATATCATCTTGTTTTGTTCTTCTGTCTCTATCAGTTTTATCATGTTGTATCTTATTGTATTTTATTATATGTGATAGTATAAACAAAATTTTTATAGAAAAGGAGATAATATAGAAACCATTGTTCGTTTTCTGTTAGTTGGTTCTGAATACCCTGTAATACTTTCATTCTCTTGAATGGATTTACACTGTCTTTTTATGTTTGATACTATAGCATGTGAAGTTATACTCAAATATTTCAAGAAAAGAGATACTAAGGTAGCTACTGTTATGTCGGGTTGTCTTGTGGTGAAACACTATGCTGCTTAAATTGTTCTGTTCTGACCTGTGTTGTTATGTCCTCTTTTATATTAATCTTTTTTTAAAATAAAAATAAATTTATAAGACAACGCTAATCTTAAATTAGAGTTCTCTTGAAGGAGAAAGAAAATTAGATTATGAGAGACAGAGAAATTCATTACATATGTATCTTACATTAAATTCATATGAGGGAAAAACTGGCTACTTAATGAAAATCATTCTTCAATAAAATTACCCTCAGTATAGCCATGAACCACTTTGAAACTAAAATTCTGTAAAACTGAAGAAGATACAGTTCGTTTATTTGTGTGATGTTAAGGATATACTTTAGTGACAAATTACTTGTTACCAGCAATAACATAGAAAAAAACAAAAACAATTATCCAAATTTTAAAACATAAAATAATATTGATTAGGGGCTGGGAATTGTGCTTAGTAGCATAAACACCTGCC